AGGGAAAGTCAGATTTGGCCATGATGACAAACTACAAAGAAAAGACTGATAGAAATCACTACACAACAGAATATTTGGTATGCAAAAACCAAAACCAAAACCAAAATTGAATAAACATGAAAGATAAAAGGCATATTTGATCCTGCATTCCCCACCCCCTTGCCACAAGCCCTTAAAGCCCTCAGTGTCTGCCTCCGGGAGCAACACCAAACCTCGAACAGAACCCCAAAGGCGTTCCCAGCCTGGCCCCTGCCCACTCCTCCAGCTCCATCTCATATGACTCCCCACTGTACTTGAGTCCTTCCAGCCATAAACTCCTGCCTTCCACTGCTCACGTGTGTCATGCTACCTCCTTCGCTGTCTAGAAAGCTCATCCCAGCTCTGCACTGACCATCTCCCCAACAACTGGGCCATTCCCACTGGATTCCTGCACATCCCTCAAGGCTCTCTTCCTCCTGACCCCCTAGCCCTATGTTGGCATTAACCCAGCTCCAGTGATAGAGGAGATGATGTTAAAGAAGAAGAAAAGTTATATTATAGATGCCAACGAAGGTAAAATCAGTATGAATGTTCACCGAGGAGATACGTGAGAAGTGGTGAGAGACAACTCTCTCCACCTAGGTTGTGGCACAGAGAATCCTACTAAAAGCTAAAAGCAGCACTGAATTCAAGGCTCTGTGCTGTCATGAAAACGATCAGTGTTTTCACAAGCCATAATTTAACAAGATCCACTCTAGAGAAAATTCTGATACCATTCAAGAGCAATTACTGTCCCAGGACAGTGTTCCTTTGACAGTGGTGATGAAAACTTGAATACTAAGCTCTAATCATAACCACGTGCACATGCACACACGTGAGCTGCTACTCCTCTGCTCTGAGGAAGCAGAGCAGCGGCGTGGTCCTTACTGATGCCTCAGCTCTGAAGTGGTGGCATAGGGCTCGATGAAACTGTCCTTTTCAACGGAAGTCGCGTCACTCTCAGACCGGGATCTCTGACGAGGCTGAGGAATGGCAACGGTCCGGCCAGTCAATGTTGTTGCTAGAATGACCGCAGCCAGAGCAGATCTATGGACAAAAGCATCGCGGTGAGTCGGTGAACTGAAGGTTGGACAATGGGATACATGAATTAATCAAGGTTTATCTTCTGTTCTACAATGTTTAGTGTTCATCTACTGATGATGTACTTGCAGTCTGTTACACACCCTCAAACAATCTAATTTCATTCTCACTTCAACTGTATGAATAGATATTATCATCACCTCCATTTTCATATAAATTTTATATAAATTAAATAACTTGCCCAAGATTCCTAGCTTATAGGAGATGGAACCAGGTATCTAATACAGGAAGTCTATATTCCAGTGGTTTTCCTGTTAAAATGAAAGATCAGAATTAAAAAAACCCAGAGATATAAAAAGATATAAAAGATTTTAAAATCTTGTTAATTATTCAAAACTATAATATAGGAAAGATAGAGCAATAGATTTACCCTCCTACCTGAAAAAGTGAAATAAAACAACGGACTTAAAATTGGCCCAGCTTACTGCCTGAGAGAATTTCCAGGTCACAGCACAGGAAGGAGGAACTGAGGTGGGGCCAGGCAGACTCCCTGAGCTGTAAAGTTGGAGCTGAGAGTCCAGGAACACCAAGACAGACAGAATTTGAAGGACAGAGTGCCAGAAAGGAGACAGCTGAACAGAGAGAACTCCGGAAGTCTGCAAGAGAGAACTCCAGAAGTCTGCAAGAGTGTTCCGCAAAATGCTTCTCAGTGCCTGAGTGTGAGGAAACTGCCCCAGGCTGGAGGAAGAGCCGTTCACAAAGATTAAAGGAACAGTGCTGGATGCTTACACACGGTTGAGGTCAGTGTCTGTTCCCAAGAGACAGACAGGAAAAAGTTATAATTCATGAGACATTGGGTACAGTACTCTAAAAGGTCTTGCTTCAGTAGTGGAGAATAATTAGCCCTAGATTGAACATTGCTCCAAACCCTGCCTAACAAATCATAAAAGCAAGACCCAAAAGATCAAACTGGTTCCAAGTAATTCAATTGCATCCCAGTACAAAATTTAAGAAGACTTACAGGGATACAAAAATACTAGCACTCAACAACATAAAACTCACATCAATCAAGGATAACCAGGCATGCAAAGGGATGGAAACACATGACCCGTAATGAAGAGAATAATCAATCAAAACCCATTCAGAACGGAACACATATATTAGGATTAGCAGAGGAGGACATTAAGACAGTTATAATAACTGTATTCCGAATGTTCAAAAAGCTAAGTAGAGACATGTAAGATTATAAAAGACTTGAACGTCAGGAGATGAGACTCACACTGGATAGGATTAACAGCAGATTACACATTGCGGAAAAGACCAGTGAAACTGAAGCCAAAACAATAAAAATAAAAAAAAACACCACAAAATGAAATATAAAGAGGAGAAAAAACAATTAAAATTTAAAAGAGCACAGTGAGATAGATAAAAAACACTCCTGTTTTATCTTCTAAGCCAGTCAGTTTTGGTGTAATTTGTTACATGGCAATAATAACTAATATAATAGCCTTATTGTCAAATGGTGCTGGAACAACTGGATACCCACATGCAAAAAAAAAAGGAACTCCCACACCTCCCACCACACAAAAATGCACTCAAAATAGATCATAGACCTAAACATAAAGCCTAAAACTATAAAACTTCTAGAAGGAAAATACAAGAGAAAATCTTTGTGAGCTTGGTCAGGAAAAGATTTCTTAAATATATTGAAATCATGATCTGTAACAGGAAAAAGTGACAAGTTGAAATTAAGAATTTCTGCTCCTTGAAAGATACAGTTAAAAGAATGAAAAGATAAGCCACAGATGGGGAGAAAATGTTTGCAAATTACATACTTAATATAGTAAAAAACTTGTATCCAGAATATATGAAGAATTCTCAAGATACAGTAATGGGAACACACACAATCCAATTTTTAAAAGTGCGCAAAAGGTTTAAACACTCTATCAAAGAAGATATACGAATGGCAAATAAGCACCTGAAAAGATGCTCAATACCATTAATTATTAGAAAAATGCAAAATAAAACCATAATGAGATACAACTACACATCTATTAGAATGTCAGAAACTTAAAAATATTGGCCAAGACAAACCTTCATGCTCTTCCTCGCCAACCTGGGCCTGACAGAATAGCTCCCACAAGGAAGAGTGGTGAGAGAAGAAAGGGCCACGCTGCTAACAGTGAGGTGGCGACCTGAGAGAACCCCACCAACACTGGCAAATGCATCCACAGAATGAGCTTCCAGAGAGGTTCCTCTTAGGCATTCAAAGAGATGCAGAAATTTCCCAGGAAAGAGACAGGAACTCCAGATGTGCACATGGACTCCAGGCTCAACAAAGCTACTGGGCCAAAGGAATAAGGACTGTTCCATACCTTATCAGTATATGGTTGCCCAGAAAGTATAATGAAGATGAAGATTCGCCAAAGTCTATACATTGTTATCTATGCACCTGTCACCACTTTCGAAAACCTTCGGGCAGTAAAAGTGAATGAGAAGAGCCAACTGTCAAATAAAGTTATAAATACGCGCGCGCACACACGCACGCACACGCCCGCGCGCGCGCACACACACACACACACACACACTGACCAAACCAAGTGTTGGTAAGAATGTGAAGAAACTGGAACTCATAAACTGCTGATGGGTACATAAATGAAATAACAACTTTGGAAAATAGTTTGGCAATTTCTTAACAAATTAAATATATACCTAGTATATGACCCAGGTATTCCAATCCTAGAATTTATCCAAGAGAAATGAAAGCATATGTCCAAAGATTTATACATAAATGTTCATAGTAGCTTTATTTCTAGCAGCCAAAAACTGAAAACAACACAAATATCCATCAACAGGTGAGCAGATAAACAAATTGTGACATATCATATAATAGAATACTCAGCAATAAAAAAAATGAATTATTGATTTCCACAGTATGGATGAATGTCAAAATAATTAGGCTAAAAGAAGCCAGCATAATTATTTTGTGTAATTCCATTTATATAAAGTTCGAGAAAATGCATACCAAATCTATAGTGACTAAAAGCAGATCAGTGGTTGCCTACGAATGAAGGTAAGAGAGGGTTGGACAGGAGAATGGAGGTGGGAGCGAGTGAGGGGCTGGAGGGAGGAATTACAAATGAGTATAAGGAAACTGTGGGGGATGATGGATATATTTATTATCCTGATGGTGGTGAGGGCTTCACAGGTGTAAATATGTGTTGAAACTTACCAATTATGCATTTTAAATGTGTACAGTTTATCATATGTCTATTATACCTCAAAAAAACCTGTTTTTAAAATGATAAATGACTGTCTAAAGCAAAAATGGGAACAATATATTGTGGGGTTTATAACATATAGAATTAAAATGTAAGACAACAGTAATACAAAGGATGGGAAGGAGGACATAGAGGTAAAGCGCTTATACTACATGTGAAATAGAATAATTGAAGATTAATGTGCATGCTATTTGAAAATAAAAAGATTTAGAAAAATGCCAAATTTGTTAAAGCCATGTTGATTAATTTGGGTTTATAAAGATTACAACCGAGGTATTTTTGTAAAGCACGAGACCAGAAATTTTCTAATGAGTCTACGGCATGTTTGCCATGAAAATGATGTGTTTTTTTTGTTTGTTTGTTTTTCTGCTTTATAATGGAACATAAAGCTAACCCTCTCACTGTTGCTGCTGCTACACACACATTTAAGTCCTAATGACATAACTAAAGGGTTGTTCACACAAACACTGAAGAGCTTGACAGACCTTCAAGTGCATCACAGCAAAGCCACCACTTGTCGGCTGTGAGACTTTGGGCAAATGACAAACACTTGAGCTCAAAAGAGAGATGCCAACAGGACTTCTCTCATGGGGTCACTGAAAGGATATAATGAAATAATGTTTCTAGGGCACTTAGTAGAGTCCTTGGCACAGAGTAAATACTAATAAATGGCTATTCTTGATATCAAGATAGTACCAAAGGAAAAAACAACACTAAAAGTATTTAAGTGTTTATATCGGGAGGCATACGATATATTCCAGTCTGAAAGAACAATAAAAAGAAGGCACTGCCCTTGAATGCAATTTGTTCTCGTTGCTAATAGTCAAGTCACGGATCCAGGTTATCGTATAGATAAAAAATAGCCTGAAATTCTCCTGTGTCTAAAATTACAGGCAGGGGTCTTAGGTATAAAACGAAGTCAGCTCTCTGGTTAGAAGCACTGGAGGATAGGGAAACCAATGCCTCTTCCTTCCTTCCTGCGAGGCAGAGTTATGTTTAAAAAGAAAATTATGTGCACAACTCAAATTGCTTTTAACATTTGATATCAACTGGAATAGTTGGGCTTTAGTGCTTTACATTTTGAAAAATACTAATTGCATTCAATTATGAAAAGTGAGCATTCCATTCCATATACCTAAAAGGGATAAACCATTATCCAACAGAGAAAGCATATTAAATTATGCAATCATGATAAATATTTTAAAGGACAAGATTCTAAACACCCTATTTGTAATTTTCTTACCAGTTGGAACAGTTCCAGTTCCCACCTCTTGGTGGCTGAGCACAAAGGTGACCTCAGCGCCTGCTCACCTGAGACTCACTCACCTTGGTCTCTCCGGAGAGGGGTTGGGGCTGCGAGGAGGAGGTGTCCGGGGCACAGCTGGCTTCGGTGCAATACTGGCCGCAGGGAGAAAGCCATGGATGATGTGTTTCTGCACAAATAAAACCCAGCAGAGGTCACTGGTGTAAGGAATCACCTGCATCCTGCCACCACCCATCTCTGGGCCTGAGAGGGGACACTTGTACTGGCTACCCAGGGATCTAGCCCCAGCAGAGAGGTCACTCTACCCTTGCTACCCCCATCCCCCATCTGCCCAGACAAGCATGCCCACCCAGGGAGTGTCATTACTGCTGCCTATTGTGGGGCCTTCTCAGACTTCCCTCCTCAGAGCAGCTTCCCTAACCCCAGGAGTCACCTTCCAGCACCTCCACTTGTCTCACATCATGGACCTCAATGACCCTACTCACTTGCCACCCTCCTGCAGAATGGAAGCTTCTTGAGAGCAGACAATCTTCTTGTCTTTACTAACCCTGAACTCTAGCACTTAGCGCATTGCCCAACAGCTGGTAGGGGCTTCATAAAGATTTTAAGTAGTTTCAGTGACACAGTGTAAGAAAAACTAGTTCATACACAATGAAAGTTGAAGAATCCTGCTTTAGGCAACTGAATCTCTCAGAAGTTTCTGAGTGTAGCTCAATCATTTTCTGTGCATCAGCCATTCATTCACACCTACTAGAGGCAAAACACCATGACAGCAATGAAGAAACCTTGTCTTTATCCTCAAGGAGGGAGGGTGCAGAGGAAAAACATCCCAATGCTTACTGCAAAACACAGAATTATGGAATGTGCCAACGGAGAGGTAAAGACAAAGTGCTGAGGTGGCCCAGAGAGAGAAGGGGTCCTTCAGGTCTGGGGGCTAGCAAGGGGCCCTCTAATGTCCCTTTAGAGAAAAATCACAGAGGCATTTAGACTGAGTCTTCCAAGATGGCCACCGCTATCACATTTGGGGAATGTGATGGAAAAGCATTCTCGGAAAAGGGAACAGCATGTACGAAGGAATGAAGCAAGGCATTAGTGGCAGTGCTCTGGAAATAACAAGCAAGCATCCAGTTTGCTGTAACACAGAGGTATCCGGGAGGGAGAGACTAGAACAATGGGCTGAGGATTGGTTCCATTTAATAGTTTTGATACCAGACTAATGAGATCCTGTGGCCTAGTGAGGAACACTCCCTGAAACTGAACCCTAAAAAGACTCATCAGGCAGTGGTAGGCATAAGGTACAGGGGAGAGAAGGGAAGAGCAACGAAGGGGGAGAGCCAGGGTTTTGGGCATCCTTCAGGACGGGTAGACCTTCCAAGTGTCTCCTGCAGTACCCACCCCCAACCCCCGCCCACTTGCATGGCCAACCCCAAGTGCAGGCATTCCAGAGCAGTGTCTGCTGTATCCCGCTATTCTGTCTACCGCTCCGTGTAGCACCTACTATCCTGTACTTGCCAAGCAATTTAACAGTTTAATGTCTGCCTCATCTCCCATCCCTATCTGCATCTGTGAGATGCTCAAGGAGAAAAAAAGAGTTTTCTTCACCTTTGATTTGCCAAGGGCTGGCATCTCATAGGCCCCACAAAAATGCCTCATGAGGTTTTTGTTTGTTTGTTTGTTTGTTTGTTTTATAGAGTGACTCTTTCACAGTATGCTAAATATTTTCACTTGTACCACTATAATCGTTTCCTAACTGTGGTCCTCCTGTCTCTCTCTCTAAAACACAGGATGAACCTGTCTCGACCCAGCAGGAAAGCCCAGAGTGGGCAGCCCCAATCTCTTGATGATAGAGAAATGGTCTAGTGAAGTACAGGAGGCTGCTAAGCTGCTATCAGTTGATTCTTACCAATGGACCCAGATTCTTTTCTTACCACCCCTCTTCATCTCTACCCATATTCTCTATGCTTTAACATTCAGAATTGCCTTCCATTTCCCACACAGCAAATAATTCATTCATTTTCAGGCCTTTGTATATGCTGTTCTCTCCTCCTGGAATTCTCTTCCCTTATCTTTATCCCCGCCAAGGCCCAGTCAACTCTCTGGACTGACTTGGCTGCTCCTCCCCTGGTATGCACCTGTACAGTAATTTTTGCCTAACCATTTTGTGCTCAGTTACTTATTGGTTTGTCTATCGTTTAGACAGTGTGGCCGTAGCCTGTCAATCAGACAGAGTAAGAACTCAATCATGCCATGCTGAGTTAGCAAAATTGCAATGCAAAAATATGCTTCAACTATGCCTTCACTGCATCTCAACACCCATCTACCTAAAACGACTGCCGCTGATGAGACGGCTGAGAACAGGAAGCCAAGTCAGACATGCTTTCTAAACCCAGTCAAAAACAGAGGTCAGTTGTGCCCTTATCAAGACGCTTTCTCTGCACTTAAAGTATTACATTTATGGAGAAGTGGATGGAAGTAGGTTTGGAGATTCACTAGGCAAGTATGGAAAAGGGAGAGAGGAGCACAAGAGTTGAGAGTGTAAAAGGGACGTGATTATAATGATGGACTGTGCAATTAGAAATTAGGGCTGGAAAACGAGGGCAGTAAGAACACTGATAAGATCAACTGATTGATTAGGGGGTGGTGATGTGCGTTAACCATTATTGGAGGCAAGATACTAGAGGAAGTGAGTAGCAAAGACAAGTGGGATCAGAGAATGAGGCTGGGAGTATGCAGCCATAGTGACAGAGTGGCCATGGGTAGGGATGGAGGAAAGTATTCCAGGCAGAAGAAAAAGCAAAAGCAAAGGCCTGAAGGAACAGAGCAAAGGTAGATATGGGTGGAGAGTGAGTAAGTGTGTGTGTGTGTGTGTGTGTGTGTGTGTGTGTCCGCGAGAGCAAGCGAGAGAGGTATTTGGGGACACTGGGTTCTAATGAGGGCAGCAGCACGATCAAATCTGCGTTTTAAAAGAAGTCCTTTGGCTGCTGTGTGGAGAATGGACTAGGGAAAGGGCAAGACTGGAAACAGAAATGATGAGGGGCTGCTGCAGCCGTACAGGCAGATGCGGGAGGACGCGGAGGGGGCGGGGCGGGAACAGCTGCCAGATGTATTTGGTGGGTACAATCTACGGAACTTGCTGATGGGGTGTCCGTGGGGATCGGCGAGGGAAGGATTCAAGAATGACTCGCCATCCGAGACATCCAGCAATGGAGCAGTTTTTGCCCTGCAGGAGCGAACTCCCCAAGAGAGGAGCGAATGTTGCAGGGCGATTCCTGTCCGACTGAGGCTGACCCTGGGATAAAGGATTCTTCAGAACACGAAAAATCAAGGCATTTCGAACGGAAAACCACTTCCTCTTGTGTCGCTACCTTGCCTCAATCTCAGGCCAAAGCCCATGCCCTCCTCCCTTAATTCCTGGCCCCCAGGCCAGAGCACAGGCCGGGCAGGGATCTACTTACAAACTGGCTCCTGCGGCCTCTCGGAAACCCCAGGAACATCCTTGCTGCGGGGAGCGGCCGCACCCCGCTGGACTCACGCGCTGGTCTCCCCAGAACCCAGGACCTCTCGCTAAAGCCCGTCCCAGAAGCTGGCCTAGCCTCAGGAGCTTTTTCTACGCAAGGGACTTCGCAACAAGCACGTCTGCCACTGGCTCTGCTTTCGCGCCGGCCAATTAGAGCCAAGAATACTTCATCCCCGTCGCTCTTGGCAACCAGCAGGTTCTGCGCAAATTCTCTCCCTGGCGGAAATTGTGCGAGCTGTACGTTCTCCTATTGGTCAGGTTAGATGTCGATCTCTGACGCCATAGCCTATCAGGTTCCGTGAGAGGCAGAGGGCGGGCAAGACGAAGGACTCCAGGAGCGCGCTGGGGAATCCGAAGTGGCGCGCTGCAGGTAATGTAGCTGTAGACCCTAGACCGAGGTGGGACCCCAGCCGGCTCTGCCCCCGACCTAGACTGAACAGAGGAGCCACGGCTTGGACCGAGCAGGGCTATCAGAAACCAGGCATGTGACGAAAATGAGGGATGCGGTGACCAGGACAGAGATCTTCTGGTTCTTAGACTTTGGCAAATAATTCAGTCTTTTAGGGAACACTGCGGACCAGCTCCTGCCAAAGAGGCTCTGGCTTCGAGAAGAGTGTGGGCCGTGTGCAGGAGAGCTTGCTCGAGTTCCGTCTTTCATTTTCTGTGGATGAAGGCCGCCGATGGAACGGAACCCGCCTGATGGCACAGGCCCGGTGCACGTGCCTTTTGGGCACATTGTGGCCAATGAGAAATGGCGTGGGTCGCAGCTGGCACAGGGGATGCAAGGTCGGTGGGCTGCCCTCTGCATAAACCCTCTCTTCCTACCCCACTTTTTAAAAACGTTCTACCAAGTGTCACTTTTTCATATAAAGCTCACGGAACTTATTTTCTTGTCTGCATTTTAAGGGAAAATTAAACTTGTTTTTGAGGATGGCCTGACACCGGTAGATTTTTACTTGTCTAGCAGATCCTGCATTCTTTATGTCACCGAAGCTGATTTGGTGGCAGGAGGTAGCTACCGAAAGAGGCTTGTTCGCGTTAGAAATGTAAGTGCTGAATTGAAGAAATTGACCTTGAAAATTGACTTCTATTCTCCTCTCTCTTATGTTTAGAATAATTTATATGAAACCATTGCCCATTCCAAGCACTCTTGGAGCTGTAGTTTTCTTAAACTTGAAAGGAATTTTGTTACAAAATGGTTTACTGGTTTTTTTTCCTTTGAAGTCCAGTAATCTTCAAGGAATCGTAGTAGTTGAAAAAACGCAGATAAGTGAACAGTACTTCCCAGCCATACAGAAGTTTACCGTGTTAGACCTTGGGATGGTCTTGCTTCCAGTGGCCAACCAGATGGAAGCGTCCTGCCTCATTATCCAGTTAGTAAGTACTGATTCCTACTCCACAATAGCCTTGTCCTGAAGACTCTCAACTGACCTTCCTGGATCCTTTACCCTAGCAGCTGCCTTTGCTATTGTTTCTTATTGAGTACATCAATCCAATCTAATCATTCTGTGATTTGTGAAACATTTTTGAGGAATTTCAGTACAGAAGCTGCCTCTGTAGCCAGCAGAGCTTGCTGCCTGTTCTAGGCAAATGTGTAACAAAGTGAACAAGTTGGAGACCTGATTTTGGACTCCCAGGCTGTGATGACTCCATTGTTCATTATTGTGTACTGACGCTCATGAAAATGTCAACTAGCAGCCGCTTTGCCTCATCCCCACATATCTTTTGTTAAGCATCAGCACTGTGTTTAAGATTATTCACCTTGATCGTACATCAGAATTTCGTGGGGAACTTTTCAAAATAATAATACATGAGCCTTACCGCAGACCAATTAAAAATCGGAATGTGAAAGTAGGACCTAAGCATCAATTTTTGTTGTTGTGCTGTTTTTAAATAATCTTCCCCTCTGATGTGCAGCTAAGGTCGAGCACCGAATTGGAAATGCAGTCCTGTGTGGTTCACAGATCCTTCTCTATCTGCACAGCTCTCTACATTACTGTTCCTAACTTCTCTCTATGTGATGCTATTATCTGCCTTCCTATATCCAGCACTTACTGAAGACTGGGTTCCTCCTTTGATAGTAAGCTGTTATATCAAGCAGGTCCATTTTAGGGATAGCCATCATTCAGTCTCCTACAACTGAAATGTTTCTTAGTGGACCATAGGAACATGTTTGAATTCCTCAGAGTATATTTTCATCAGTGGTTTGTTTTTTTTTTCCTATGCCTCCAGCACCTGGTATTCCTAGGTGATCTCCCATCCTAGTACTAACTAGACCCAACCCTGCTTAGCTTCCAAGATCAGACGAGATCAGGCACATTCAGGGTGGCATGGCCGTAGACTGTTTTCATTAGTTTTATCCTGAGCATTCTGAAAACTCAAAGTTTTTAAAATTTTTATCTTACTCCTTTGTGTAGTCATATGGTTCATCATTTAATAATTTTGCTGATGTCTGAAAAATCATATTCATGGCATATGAAAACATTTATAGTGGTAAGTCAAGTTGAACCAAATGGAAAAACTAAAATTTCCACAAACTACATTTTAAGAACCCTGCCTG